CAACCATTTTATTCATCTTCTGGTTTACATACGACTCTATCATCTGCTACCTATATAAATTGCTGATTCTTAAAAACATGCGACGTCTGTCGCAAATCAGTCAAAAGACTCATATATTACCATATGGCGTCAATAACGTACCTATTACGCATTTATAAACAGTTTACGTGCAAAATTAAAACAAAACAAGAAATCTTTAACAAAAAGCAGGTGAACCGTAACGGCTGTGCCGTGTCATCTGTACCCTTTCGTTTTTGTAATAACAGAGTAGGTACACCTCCATTCAGATGCTCTTAATACCTACCTGTCAAACGTATACGGTCAACCATGTTAAATATTACTTACAAGTTGCTAATACGTGTTATTAGAGATTGTCAAAGTAATGTTTCTTTCAATTTAGCATTGAAAGACCTACTTTTCTCACGAGAACGCGGTTTATTTTGTCGTGTCTTAATGTAAAAATGTCTAGGTGTCTTTGATGACAGTTTTTTATTGTAAAGTTTTCTTTTACTCCCATACAATAGAACATGACGTATCCTTGTACGGTTTTCACCTAGATAAACACGAAACTTTTTTGCTATGAGTAGTTCTGTATAGCCCCACTATTGCATCATGATATGCCGATATTGTACTGTGGCTATTGTGTCAGTACTTATACAAAATTCCTATTTTTAATTTATGAGGATAATATAGCACTGTGTGCATTAAAAATCCCAATACATACGTACGTAGAAGTCAGCAAAGATCCTCAGAAAAAAATAGCACAGCTAAAGAAAATAAAACAAAATCAGTAGGTGCGCAAAAGTCGAAAGCCTGAATGGGAACAAACTGCTCTGTCCCAGTTAACTCGATTCAGGGCGGCGAATGAAAAATGGCGTCAAATATGTCCCCGTACTAAGTGTGTAGTGAAATACAAAGGCTGGTGTTCTGATATTCCTGCCTTGAACGGGGTTGGGAGACGCAGAGCAGGCAATTCAGTAGGTTAACTTAGCATCAAAATATTTTAAGAGGAAAAAGGAATATACAAAATTGAAACTTCAACATGTTGCTTGCTGTGTCAATAACCTGGCTTGCTACGAAACATAGCCTTAATTTTTGTTACCCTTGTGTTTTCTATTCTTGATTTCTTTTCTAACTGGTAGATTTTATCTGCCCCTCAAAAGTAAATATTTTGCAGACATGCCACGTAACAGATCGACGGCATTAATATTCAAAACATTCGGGTTATGAATAACCCCATTAATTATTGCGCCGATCGACTTTGAAACCTTTGTTCTTTGGGGAAAGTTGTTCAGTTTCATGGTCTGGTTCACCCCTGAAAATATTTACAGTTGTTTTTTTTTTACATCCTGTGTACACACATTTCCTTCCTGTAGAATCTAGATTTTTGTTGTATAAACATTTAGCAAAGTCATCCAAGATATTTTATAATACAGTATTTTATCTTTGAATCAAACATATTTATCCTAGTTGTCATTTTACCAGATACACGATTATATTTTATGTACGTATTTGACATCCCACCTACAACTACTTGGGGGTAAGAGTAACCACTGGACGAGCCTCTTGCATAAGATATCTATTTCATTTAATATTTTCTATACTAGATGGGTTAGGACCCTGTATATTTTTTTAATTATATATCAATGCTATAGTGAACCCATTTATATACATTTCGTTGCTGGTGATTCTGAGTTTTTGTTGTATGAACATTTAGCCAATCCGTTTGTGAAAGACCTTTCGGTGCGTATCTACAATGCATCTGGCGATCGACGTGCTGGCAGTTTCCTCTCTATGTCTTGTTGAGACGCACTGAAAGGTCTAACCTAACTTAGTTTACTGGACAGATAAAAATCCCAAAAATTGTGTGGAACTATATTATGACCATCTGATCTGCACACACTGTGCCATATTCACGGGCGCATTATTCAAATAGTGCACTATCTATCAATGTCGGCCGACTATTACGCCGTCCGATTGATTCGACAAAACTCCAGTTGACCTACTGTCTAGCGTACACTGTGTCATATTCACGGGCGCATTATTCAAATAGTGCACTATCTATCAATGTCGGCCGACTATTACGCCGTCCCGTCCGATGCAGGTGCCGTGTTGACGTATTCAATACCGTATCTGCTGTTTGCGTACCTAGGTACGATTTTTTGTACAAGTAGATTGTAGAAATATTCATTTGTGGTGTCGGCTTAGAATAGGATCGCTAATATATTTCCCGTGGTTGTCGTAAGAAGCAAATAAGAGGCCCGAAATTTGATGAGTATTGCAATTAGGCTGAAAATCTGTCACTTTTATGATACGCAGTCTTCTGAATGACACTCAAACTAAACTTTTGTCAGACATGGTGTAAATGGCAGTTTTTTACAGCAGTTTACGCTCTGCCTACCCCGCATGGGATATATAGGCGTGAAATATGTATGTGTGCATGTTATTTACATTTGGTTGGTAGGACCCTTGCGGCAAACTTCAAATTCGGAAAGATTAATTTTCGAACGGACGAATGTTGTTCTGAAGTATGAAATCTTGTTTTCATTTTGGCGAAGTGACTTTGATGAACTAAAGTGGTAGCCGGAGCACAAATTAGGTAGGTAGATTTTTGATCTCTGTTGCTTAATGAATGAACAAATAGCAATGCCTCATAATTTTCGTAAGAATGAGAGATTCTTATGTGGCTCGACTCTAATCCCATTTTTTGTAGTTTCAATTCAAGGCATCGTCAAAAGATTCAAAATACTTTTATTTCCAAGAAGATTCACAAAGAATACATTTACAATATCAAATACAATCAATATACATCGAAAAAATAAAATGTCAAATAATATTTCCCACAATTTTCCACATGTTCCTAATGCAGCTGATTCAAAGACAATTTTAATCAGCATAAAAAGATGCTCTACCTCGCTGTCTCTAGATTTAATTAAAAGTAGTAAACACTGTGTTAGTGTGTCGTATGGACGGTAGTGTGGAGTCATAATTGCATGGAAAATATGTACGAGCTTTCATTATGTCCGCCTTGCTTGCTTAGCGGACGTGCGGGCTGCCTACGGTGAATGTAATATACCTGAAACGCGAATAAAAATCGCGCGAAAGTTATTCCCCATGTGGACAGGGCTTAATTTTAAAAATCTTTCAAGCAAGTTCAAATGACCATCATCATCATAGCTTATGGCAATTCTTGCTCGGATTAGATGACTATATCATTCTGCGTTTCACAGTAGCAAGATGACTGTAATTTTGCATTCAAATGAAACGTTGTCTTTTTCTCTGAATCTTTGCGATATGGCATTTTACACGGCAAGTTACTTATAAACGAAAATAAGAAATAAGAAAAAATTCCGGTATCGAACCGGGGCCGCATGGTAAACGACCCACCACTCTCCCACTGAGCTATCGATGCACCGTTTTCAGTTGAATTTATGTCGGTCGGCTATAGCACCAGGAAAACTGCGTATTAATCTTTCACAACTAAGGCAGCCTATAGACGATTCCTCGCAGAAAGCACACACCGCTCGCGTGCAGTATTCACATGTCGGCCTACAAGATTTTTATGGCTTTTCATACTCGCTATAAGTCAACTCATATCATAACCTACATTGTCCAACAGGGCACTGTTGTAGCAGTTCATGATTCGTCGCAGCAAGCCCACACTGTTCGCGTGCACTATTCGCGTGACGGCCTACAACCAGCTTTTATGCGTTTTCATACTCGCTATAAGCTCAACTCCTTAACCTACATAGCCCCAGCGTTTGTAGCTGAAAGGGTGTAATGCATGTTGTGTCTCGGATTCTTGATGAAAGTTTAATGGCTCTTTAAGTGATGTTTGAATGTGGAAATTTAGAAAGTATTCCAGTTACACATTTAAGGGATCAAAGTAGGCTGGTGCTACGTATAAAGTATTTTTTAAATAACTAATATAAAATGATACAATAAATAGGTGGGTTGAAGCACTGTCGACAAAAAAGGATAGGTAGTTAGTGTTATTCTATTACGAAGGTGCCGTAATTTTGAGTGTGAATTTATGGTTGAAGTAATATGTAGTTAATTCTTAAAATTAGGGCCATTTTAGCATAAAGCGGGTATAAAAAACATATTTATACAGGGAGTAACGAAAAGGGTATATCAAGCCGAAAGGAGGTCAAGGTACTCATGAAACTGAACAACTTTCGCCATAGAACATGAGTCGAAAGATGAAAAAAAAAAATTGCCCACCCATACAAAATCGCCGATCAGCTTATTGATTTACTATGGGAGGTCCAAATTTTTTTTATATTTCGACCCATGTTCCATGGGGAAAGTTGTTCAGTTTCATGAGTACCTTGACCTCCTTTCGGCTTGTTATACCCTTTCCGTAACTCCCGGTATAAGTACCGAGTTTTTTTATCAATCAAGTCGAAAAACAAATAGGTGATCACGAAAATCGCCAGCCAAAAGAGAAAACCAACCATCTAAAACCGACTAAAACATGTGCGGATAATTTTAAAGCGTGTACAGTAATCTCTCATCAAACAGGCGAGCGGTTCAGATCCCATTAGGATAATAGTCTGACTAATAGCCGTTCATTCCTCTTACATTCACTCATTCAGTCTTTTCATTCACTCCCATTCGCTCGCCACTCGGCTACGCTTTGTGTGGCGGGAAATAGATTTCAGCCTGATGTAGCTGAGTTGGAACAGATGATGTTGCGATCAGCTTGTTATATTATTTTTTAATTTTCATGTGGAATTCTACACATAGCTAGATTATGCCTGCATATATGCCATACTATGCAGGACAGAGAGGGATTCAAAATAGTTCATCGGGGATTCTAAAATCTAGTATTGATAAATTTTACTGGCATTTGATTTAATCATAAGTTGATTGTGCGGTCTCTGTGCATTTTCATACAACTTCTCAGAACTTGAATACCTACCAAACTTTTAAAACACTTCCATTATTAGAATATTTGGAAAACATGCAAAATTTTCCATCGCGCTGGCTAGGATAGAACCGCGGTATTCCAGTTGGTAGAGGCATCGGCAGTACAGATCCCGAAGGTCGCAGCGCAGGTTCAAATCCTGCCTGCGGTGGAAAATTGTGTAGGTATTCTTCGGTCTAATTAGTTTTTAAACATTAGTTTCTATAAATCTAACAGTCACAAGTCTTGAATTGGCAAGATCACTGCAATTTTTCACTCAAAGGAAACATCCCATCCAAACCCGTTTCCCTGAATCTTTCTAATATGGCATTTTACATGGCAAGATACTGCATTGGTACCTATACTTTGTATCTTACATAAGTAGATACAATTTGAGAATGGAACGTTGATCAAACAAACAATTTGAATGAAAACAATATATCTCTATCTAAACTAATTCAAAACACTCACTCACTCATTCACTGAACGGACGCGTGCTGGCAATGCTTTTATTCCACGGCACATTTAGATTGACAGATCATTCGTATAATCGATCCCGACTGGTCTATATACCATAGCTATATACGCCACTTTTCATAGTGACAATGTGTAGAAAATAGCTATCAAATCTATAGTACCAAATAATGGTGTAACCTCAAACCTCATATTGTAAAATGGTTTATTTCGTAATAAGTACCTGCATAAGATATGCCTTTCCTAAACTTATTGGATGATAACCCATCTAATAAGTAAGTTAAGGTAGAATCTTGCTCATTTGTGATGTAAGTTTAACGTAAAATACGCAAACAATACCGTTGCTATTGTGGGTAAAATTTAATATTTATTGATATTGTAAGTAGTACCTACAATTATTGTTTTTCAGACAGATAATTTTTGAAAATTAACGCTAGAACGTAATCAAGTATTCCAAAATACATATATGAAACGGTAACATAATAAAGATCTCCCAAATAATTCTGACCGACATTACCCATTCATTAATACTAACAATGCATATCCAAAACGTAACCTGACCATTGTCCGCTAAACCGATAATGAACCAGCGCTCACAAAGGACCAAATAAATAGACTCTGTATTACCGTTGCACATCACCATCGTATTAGCCTAAACCGCTGCCGTCAACCGTCAAATTACGTCCATAAACGAACGAACGATACTGAAAAGAACATTGCTACAATAGAATATACGCCTTACAACGCTGCATACGAGCTTGAACTATTAGCAAAACTGCAATGGATACCGAACGCGCCGATGCAATAGCCGGACCCATTACAGCTCTAGAATTTACGAAACAGTTACGTGTAGATAAAGGAATTTGCATCGTGCAAACTAGAGGGTAAAGTCGATTATCCCTCGATTTGACGCGCCCGTAAATTTGAAGAGGCACTAGTCTTTTCAAAATCGGAATGCCCAGGAGTGGCGTTCAAATTTAGAATTCGCCTGGACGCTGAAATATGGCGCAGTTGAGCTGGTTTACTCGCGCTTTTTCCATTTCTTACAATGTTTTCTGAAGACTTTTTGGTTTTTAATTATAACTATAGGTTGAATTGCTAACTAGCAATAGAAGAAGTGGAAAAACTAGAAGGTTTTGCAAGGAAACCATTTGTGAACATAAAATCCCTGTTTAATTTTTGTGTAACATAAAATTAAAATAGACTGTTAGTATGTAAATTTATGTCTGTTGTGTCTCGATTTTAGCAAGACCTTACCCTTAACCTTGTTACTCATTTGCATATTAAGTAAGTATGTGTTAGTCTAACCCAAAACCAGCCAAGGGTTTGGAATTAATAAGTATAGCACTTGAGACTAGGTTAGATCGCGTCGGGAGTCTGGAGGGGTTTAAAATTTTGTAATACAAGAAATAAAATGTTTCCGATTTGGTAAGAGACTGCTTTTAATGAGTGAAAATTCCTTTTTAAAATGTACCTACTCATTTTAATGCGTAGTTTCAGAGATTTATACTACTAGTTGTATAGGTGGTTCGAAAAATCTTACGTTAGTATTTATTAGGTCGTTCTTATACTCAGTTTCCCACATGACAGAAGAAGACACCCGTCTTGAGCTCTAGTTTGAAAGGACGGGGAATTTGAAATAACAAAGATACACAGAATTCTGCGCGCCTCTTGCGCTATGTGCAAAAAAATAAACTATAAAAGTAGATTGCAATTAATACTAATCAATACGGAAATAGTCGTAACATGAATGCACCAATACCCAGGATTTTGTTCGCTTATCCAGTTTGCCGGGTCGATCACTTAGCCACTCTGTATCGTACTCGAGGAGAGTTCGAATTCCGAACTGCGATTCGGACAAGAGTTTGTAAGCGGCCAGTACCGATCTACAGCGTTTTTTCTGACGTTCCGATTTTGACTTTCAGCGCGCGAAGTTGAGCTAATATTTGGGTTTAGTTTGATCCTGACTAGTATGGTAGCTCGTAGAAGCTTTGATAAAAGTTTCAGAAAATTGCTTTCATTACTATTGTTCTCATAAATGGAAATAAGAAATTTAAAAAGTTGTCATGCATCGATCGCGGCTCGAACCCAGGCCGCATGGATTCGAGCCCGGTCGAGGCATGATAATTTTTTCAATTCCTTTCATTTATGAAAATAATATAGCACTGTGAGTGCGTTAAAAATCCCAATAGATTTATTACTTGTAGGACAGTAAAGTAATGTTTATCAGGTTTAGGTACCTATACTCAAAGTCAAAAGAAACTTTGCTGATCAGTGTGATAAAAAGAAATTCTGTGAAAATTTAAAAAAAGCTTCTTCTTTGATTTAAAATCTATTCACTTTGTAAGAACATGCAGGATCACGCCATGATTAAGTATTTTAAAAAGAAGCCCACCGATTATCATCCCATTAATTGTCCACTATTCCTTTTTCTGATTCGAAATGGAAGTCGGACAGTAAATAAATTATCACTTCGGTCTTTAAATCTCGAACAAAAAGACAAAATAGTGGTTTAGTCCCGTTTGAACTGGTTTTAAGCAGTTCCGATCTGATTAGAGATCGTTAGGGGATAAAAATAAAATATGCGGGTAATTGGGCAACAGGAGGCCCATTTATGTTGGGATAAAAGTGAGGAAGGCCTAAGTATTTTACACTTCGTGTTGTGATTTTTTGATGGAACTCCATATTGTAGGAGTACCTACTAAGTATTATACAGGGAGTAACGGAAAGGGTATACCTAACAAGCCGAGAGAAGGTCAAGGGTACTTATGAAACTGAACAACTTTCTCCATGGAGCATGGTTCGAAATATGAAAAAAATAGGTCCTCCCATACAAAATTGCCGATCAGCTGATTAATACTATGGGAGGTTTCAAATATTTCGACCCATGTTCAATAATATGAACAAATTTATATACCAAAATTTCAATGAACGACTATTGTTCAGTAAATATCTCTTCCAGATAAAACCAAATATCAACAAGACTCTCCATAACATAAAATGACCAATAAAACCATATCAATCGGTGTAAGATAAAAATATAGAATATGTTCTTGAACTGCTGACCGCATTAAAAAAAATACCAATCTTTTACGAGTTTTTTATAGCTTCTGACTAAGGAACAGTCGTTGTATTGTAGGTACACGAATAAAACTAAACAGTCATAAAAATAATATGCTCAGGCAATTTAATTTGGACAGGATTACCTACCAATCTGGTTTTTATTACAAATTATTCGGGGCTTAAAGGCCTGTTGAGGATGAAAATTGTTTGTAGTAATTCTCCGCAGAAATACGATACGAATTTGATAAAAACAAGGTTTACTTACATACGTGTTTTATTGTGTTCCAATCAGCCAGCCTTATCCTTGTACTTTTGATTTCTTGATAGATATGTTCGGGCATACAAAAGACTGTAGCGTTTTTTCAATTTCGATATTATAGGTATTGTTAAAATAAAATAGTTGTTATCTGGCATGTAGGGTAAAGGTAAGAATCGCAGACGTTAGAATAAAGTTTCATTAGCTCGAAAATATTTAAAACCTACTAAATGACATAGATAGAAAAGTAGTTTAGGGAGGATATCACCATCCTTATAGCTTTTCTGACCAGCTACCACCATCGGGTCGTGGAACGACTTGGAGTCTCACTCAAAAAAGAAGCAAAAGACAATAAAGTTGTTTGGGTACTAAACAAGCCTGTTTCACCGAAGTCACAATTGCTACATAACTGGACTAATTACATGATCCTTTGATTTTTATTTCTATATAATACACATTATATTCTTTAAGTTAGCTTTATCCCTACACTGCATTCTTCCAAGTATCCCCACTAAGTACGTACTTAGATTATCTCTTTGAGGTACCTCGTAAAGATAGCTTTTACCAGGCCTGGCGCACTCCGCGGCGTAGGTATAGAGTTGCAAGTACATGCGGCGACACCCGCGGGGAGGTTAATCAGTTGGTTGCCGCACGCCGCTCGATACGCGCGCGCTCCGATGCCGTTCGCATTTCTTCACGAGATTTATTTTATTTCATGAATTCTGTATTAAGTAACTCACCTTCCTGCCTCATTCGTAAATTTTGTATGATAATGCAATTTTCATATTTTTTCTAATATTTGTGATTTCATTTTCTTTCAATATCCTACGTTGAACAAAACATTTTATTAATGTTTTACTTGGGTGTAGAAATGTACTCCAGTACACTTTTTGTAGGTACCTACTTTCATATAAATCTCGTAATTCGCATCCCTACAAAGCGAGCCGGCTGTGACCTTCAAAGTGGTCTGCGGCAGATGAACTTTCGCGCGCAGCAATTCGGCTCATTTTTGCTTGCGCGCGCGATCAGTAGGCTAATATAAAAGTAGGTATCCAAATCCGGCGCGAAGGAAATTGAACTTTATATTCGCGCATACAGATTTATATTTGTTGAATTGCTATGGCGGAGTGCGTCTTCTGTACCTGTACTATTATGTATTCTGTGCTTTTACTTAGCTCGCCATAACAAATATGGCTTTCCACTGTGTTTTACTGTTTCCCTGGTCAAGTGATGTAATATTTTCATTTAATCAAGCTGTAAAGATTACTTTTACTGTGGGAATAGCAGTAAAGTAGTAATGTTGTGTTGTAAATTTCGAAGTTACGCCCACTAGCACTCAGCTTTTACAATATGTTTGGGGTTATTGAATTTTAAGTTGG